GTTTTGTTGAATTAAATGTTTTGTTTGTTTGAAATGAATACAATTAATGAATTGAATGTAATTTTAAAAAGGAAACCTCAGACAATATTTGGATACTAAGAATTACCAGCTGGAAAGAAAATTAAGTTTGCCAGCTCACAGGAAAAATGACAAAAATTCAAGGTTTTTCTGCTCAAAATTATGTTTCTCATAGCTACAGCTGGAACAAGGGCTTTAAAAAAGTTAATATTATACTTCAGATATTTCATTTAAACAACCCATAGATAAGATGTTTATTCATTGTATTTTGACAAAATGTAATTGTTGCAAAGGTTTTAATCAAAATGCTCCACATAACATTTAATTCTCAGTTTGATGGGTCATAAATAAATAGAAAAGGGTAATTTCTATGCACGGTTTGATTAGGAATTAATGCCACACACAAGAAAAAAAAAATGTTACCAGGTTCTGCGTTTAAATGAACCTAAAATAAGAATCAATTTCATTAAAGCTCACACTTTTTTGGTTAATTTAGTTACATTTAGTTACATTAGAGTCATGCATAAGCCCTGTGTGTACAACTGAGCAACAGAGGGCAGCACAGCTCTCCATGTTTGTTTATCCTCTGTTGAGATGAACATCAGGCTTGTCCCAGATGATCACACTGAGGACGACAGAGACACGTGGAGGAATGTGTTGACCTAATTAGAAACTGACTGTTAATGTAAGGGACTAAGATCCCAGACAGACTGGAATGATGCAGGATGGCAGCAGGAGTCTCTTGAGAGATTGACAACTTAAATGTGAACCCACACAATCAGTATTTATTAATCTTGCAGATGTAACTTATTAATGTTTGATAAAGTGAGAGAATTTACTCGCATAGAAACAGAAACTACCAAAACTTCCTTTAGGAGAAACAGAAAAAGATGAGATCAGTTTTTATTCCACTAATAAATCTTTTTTATTTAATTTATATTAATTACAATGGTTTGACTTGGTATTTTTCTTTACTTTTTATGATTTTTATGTAGTATTCTGTGTTAAATGTAAGATTTTTTTAACATAAGAACTTGTAATAGCTCTCTGTATTTCCCTGAGTGACAGTGTTAAAGTCAGACCCTCAGTCAGGAACAAACACTGACAGCAGGAGCCTTGTCTCGTTTCACACAAACCTCCTCCGCCTGCAGTAGGAAACGCACAACAATCACAAAGTGCACAGCTGCAGCCAGACTCCAGTCAAACTGAGACTGAGCTTCTGCCTCGTCATCCTCTTCATGACTGATCTGCGTCAGCCCTGAAGGTAAGAGATGCACTGAGAAAACACTATGATGTTCCAGCGCTGACCTCTGACCTGCCTGCCAGACGGGACGAGAGGATAACTGAGCTGAAAGAAGTTTGTTAAAAAGTGAGAAGGGAAAGTTATGAAAAATACAAAAAAATGTTTTACTTGAATTCATCTTCAGACTAAGCAGAACTGTGAAATGCTGCAGGAGTTTAATCATTTTATTAAAATCTTTCAGTTCTGGATAAAGAGTTGGCTGAACTAAAATATACTGGGAGGGAAATAATGAGACATTTGGTGTGACGTCATAAGGAGTTTTGTAAAATTCTTATGTAAAGTTCTGTTTAAAGCTCTTTAAACAGCATTAATTTGGAAAAATCAATATAATTCTGACAATATTGAGGAGCTAATGCCTGGTCTGAGCTCAGCCAAACACAAAGGAAATTTCTGTCTCTCAAAACAACTCAAATAAAAAAATCATAGTGGTTTTAAAGCTATTTTATACATTTTACTCCTTCAGTGTTGCTTTACGTTTGAATTATATCCTCAACCGGTTAAAGCTAGTGTTGCTATTTGTTCTTGCAAATAATCATAAAAGTTTATGTTAAAAATAAGAAAAATGGACAAGAGTAAAACAAAACCAGAATTAAAAAAGAAAAAAATTGTATAGGTCTTCTGGACGGGTTCTTCTCTAATGAAACGTTTCGTCTCTCCTCCAACAGACTTCTTCAGTCTGAGAGTTTCAGGCAAAATTCAGGCTTTTAAGCACTGCCTCCATGTGACTGATACTCACATCACATGGCTATTGTTGACACCTAATTAACACCTATTGTTAACAGGGGGTGGAGTGATACTGGCAATAGCAGCACTGTAGGAGGGGAACAACTGAAAACGGAGGCCTCCACCTCTGTTTAATGATGGACGGTCTTTCTTCACAAAAATAGCTTCTTTTACTCCTCTCTCAAACCAACGTTCCTCTCTATCAAGAATGAGAACATCCTCATCTCTGAAAGAGTGACCGCTGGCCTGTAAATGAGTGAAAACTGCAGAGTTCTGGCCATTAGATGTAGCTCGTCTGTGTTGGGACATTCTTTTGAACAGTGGCTGCTTTGTTTCCCCGATGTATAACTGGTCACAGTCCTCCTGGCACTTAACAGCATATACAACATTGCTCTGTTTGTGCCGGGGCACCGGATCTTTGGGGTGAACCAGCCTTTGCCGTAATGTGTTTTGGGGTTTGAAAGCTACTGGGACATCATGTTTAGAAAATAAACGTCTCAGTTTCTCCGAAACACCCGCAACATACGGAATAACCACTGGTTTGGGTCTGGGTTTGGGGTCTTCATTTTCACCTGAAGGTTGCATGGAATCCTGTCTGTGTTTCCTGTCTGCTTTCAGGAAAGCCCAGTCAGGATAACTGATTAAAACAGAATTGTCAAAAGATTAAAAAATGTATCTAAAAGTCATGGTTTTATCAAATAATCCACCTGACACAGTGAAAATCTGGGATTCGCTGTGTTGGCAATAAAATACTATTTGATGTGTAAAATATGTACTGTTTTTTAAACTCAGCAAAATAAACTGCATAGTCTTTTTTTCTCTGTTTATGTTAAGTGTCCAACTAATATAACATTATCAGCCCTACAGAGAGCGGAGTATGAAGAAAATGATAAAATTCCTAAATTGTAAATTTAAAAGAAACATTAGTTTTGAAATAAAAATGAGTAAAAATCTGCTAAAGAAAAAAAAAAAAGAAAGAAACAGGAAAAAAAAACAGCCGAATAATAGCAGATCAGTTGCAGAWCCAGGACACCAGGTGGCAGTATAAGCTTTATTGGTTTGCCATTGGGCTGTGCATAAATATCAGATCCACAGAGGCCACTCTGGAAACAGGGTGCAGTTATATTATAAATGTAAAAGCATACACAATAACTCCATATAAATGTTTTATGAAAACAGACACTTTCCAAAGGACAAATATTCAGTCAGTTGAAACACCGTAAATATATTTACATAAGAACACAGCTGATCTCGTCAGCGCTCCAGCCACAGAGAAAACCTGCAGCTGGGTCAGAATAATTCAGAATAAATCAGAGGACAGTTTACCAGACAACACCGTTTTGTATACGTGATGCATCAGACTACAACCATGCACACCTCTCCACAAAACACTGCTGCTGGGAGGATTTTCTGTTAYTGACTTCACCTTTATCTGCTCCAAAAAATAGAAATCGTAAAGCTAAATCAGGTGAACGTGTCATCGTGTACAGATATAAGAACTGACACATTAAAATACTGTGAGACATTAAAACTGTTGGAGTCAAAGGTACTCAATGCAAACTATGAAAAGTAACCTAAACAAGAGAAAC